CTTAACAGCAACCCAGTAATCTCCACAAGAACTGACACCCAAAAGGCTGTAGGACGAACACGAGCACTTAGGCTTCAACTTCCCACAAAATGGCATATCTGGGCCCCGTGACCGAGCCGTAGGTGGGGCAAGAAAAGGGCATCACGAAGAGTTTCTGGCGACGGCGGGGAAGATTTGTGGGCAGTATGGGGGTTGCAGGAGTTCAGGGTTTCGGGTCCAAGCCATTAGATGCGTGCCAAAGCCCATACGCTCGTCATACTGCCATCTACATATGTTTGTACACACTAGGCCCTTCACAGAAAGAATACGCTTCATGCTTCAAAATGGTCCAATAAGAGAACAGTTGATGATCAAAGCTGTCATGATCTTACGGATGCAGGAGAACAAGGTGCACAGCTTTTGCTGCTACTGGGTCCGGAAATCTTGCAGCATCGGAGGTCTCTTAACATGGCTTCCGAACATAGAATCCATGCCACACATCTTGATCCTCTAAGTGCCCCGCAGCAGCTGAAGGGCCCACACAACGCCCTAAGCCCTAACCTCTGCCATGTCAGGTTACCAAATGCTCAGGCCTGCCCATCATCTTGCAAGATAAATCCGTACCTGTGTGAGGCGTTCGGTGCAGGAGTCGGGCTTCTCCCAACGGCTCTGAGAGTTCCTTAAGAGTTTTCATGGCTTCATGGTAAAGACCATCTGGAAAACTGGCTGCTGAGTCATCAGGTTATTTGTTTATATATATATATACATATATCATACATAGCTGCCCGCCATGTTGCGATGAGAGAAGGTAAGCGCAGGATCAAGGAATTGCTGAGATACTTACTCGCGCAGCTCACAAACAAATCTTCCCCAAGATCTTTCGTGTTGGAAACAAGTGCAAGCATGTCATCCGACGTATCTAACCCACCCCCTGCGAGTACTCGCAGGTCACTGCATCTCGATCTCTAGGGCTTGCTCCGAAATAAGCCCTTGGCTGCTTTAACGGAGACCTGGACTGGGGGGGTTTCCGTGACTCTGCGTATGCTGGCAGAACCCAGCGCAGCACACCATGAGAGTCTGTACATACTTGTGCGAATCCCTTACTTACCTTACTTGAAGTTGCAAACCTGAAGTTCAAAAACAAAGCCTTACGCGACTCCATCAGAAAGATGAATTTCAGACTGACTGTCATTACGGAAATTCTGACTACACCAGGGCTAGCACTCATCACCTTTCTGCTGGGTGGCCCCCTTTTTTCCGACAGGCTTTCTGAGCCCCTTATTACCCCTAAACCTTCCCCTAAACCGTAAACCCTAAACCCTTAAACCCTACACCCTAAACCTTCGTACTGGGGCACTTATCACCTTTCTGCTGGACGGTTCCAGAGTACTCCTGCACTCCGCCCAAAGCCATGGAGGCCATGGAGGGCTGAGAGGGAGCCATGGTTGCCAAGGCTGCACCCTGGCAGGGTCGTTAAGGTTTAGGATTTAAGGGTTTAAGGTTTAGGGTTTGGGTTTAGGGTTCAGGGTTTAGGTGTAAGGTTTGGGTTTAGGGTTTAGCGTTTAGGGTTTAAGGTTGGCAGGGTCGTTAGGTTTATAGTCCCCCTTAAGTAGATAGAATATAGGTTATATGGGGATCTTATTATAATGTACCCAAAACCATCTTCTATCTACTTAAGGGGGACTATAGAGTTTAAGGCAGTTTGGGGTTTAGGGTTTAAGGTTCAGGGCGGTTTAGGGTTTAGGGGCGCAAGGACTTGGAATTTTGGTGTTTCAGCAGGTAGCGATCCTTCAACATCTCACAGGGGAAGACTCTCACATAGAAGTATAAGAGAATCATGAAGTGCTAGAGTTGCCCCTTAAGGAGATAGAACATGGAATTGAACTTATGTAATAACAAGATCCCCATATGCCCCATATTCTACCTACTTAAGGGGGTCTATATCCATGGCCCAGAGGGTTTACATCGCTTCCTAAGAAGCGGAAGGGTCTTAGGAACGTTCTCTAACTGACTATGGGGATCCCTTCTCTCCTTATGAGATTTCCTACCGGGATGCTGCTTTCCTTGCATACTCGTACATAAGCACACGCGCACACATAGATGATAAACAAATACAAATGTGCATCTATACATGAACACAAATACATTTATATACGTCTGTTCGTCGGAGCCGTAGTCTAAACTCCTAGTATCCCCCTTACTAACCCCTATAGCAATCCCCTATATAATCCCGTATACAACCTCTTTAGGGGATTTAGACCCTAAACCCTAAACCCGAATCCCTAAACACTGAATCCGAAACCCTAAACCCTACCCCCTACACACTGAATCCGAAACCCTCATCCCTAAATCCTAAACCCTAAATCCTAAACTATAGCTCATCGAGAACCCTTACCTATGCACAAGCCGACTCGCGGCCTCCGGCCGCACATTCTCGGCTCTGGGTCTTTTGGTCTTGTTGTCCAAAACCACCTGGGTTGTTCGGGTCTAAGGTTTTCATGGGTTGTTCTCGAAATTATGGGCCCCTTTGGGTAATAGGTTATATTGCGGCACCTGATATTGAGTTAGGAATTACAATGCAACCCCGCCCCCCCCAAATGTAACCCCCCCAAGGGTTTAAGGAGCTAACAAGGACCATATGGAGCTTAATAAGGCCTAATAGGGTTCTAATTTTTTTGGGGGGTACATTTGCAGGTGGCACATGTCTAACTCCTAACTAAACCCTAGATAGCCCATCATAGTAGTTTCCATTTTCTTTTCCATTATCCGCCAATATGACCCCAATATAACCCCCCTAAACCCTAAACTCTAATCCTCATATACCCCTAATACAACCCTAATATAGCTCTAATATAACCCCAATATACCCCTAATGTAACCCTAGTATTACTGCTTTGGGAACGGCTTCTGACATAACCCTAATGTGGGACCCCGATTTTGGGAACCACCTCAGGAGCTTCAACTACCTGGCTCTCTGTCCGGGCCGTGGAGCGGAAGGCGTCTGTTTTTTGATTCCAGGCACTTGTTGTGAAGAGCCATGCCTTTCCGTCATGTACTAACCAATAAATAGCTACGTAAATACATGAATAAGCGTATAGCAATCAATAGATAAATGCACACGGCCAGCAATGACCCAAGTCTAGGGTTGCCGGTAATCAAAGCGTCCCTTCCTACCCACATGAAGCGCGACGAAGTCTTGCAAATCCTATGCTCCCTGCATGAGCCTCTAGATCTCCTACAAGATCTATACACTGACCTATAATCCCAAAAAAACGCCTACAAGAAACATCTTACCCTAAACCCCAAACATCCCTAAACTCTAAACCCTAAACCCTGAAAAAAAATCTTGGACCAACCATTCCAGAAGTTTCTGCAACAATGAGGATCCCTGCTTACTGGCTCTTAATATGGAATAGCGGAATATAATCCCTATAGTCCCTATATCGTATATTCCCCTATTCCCTACTAAGCCCCGTTAAGCCTGCATGGGGTGGTCGATCTCTCCTGAAATTCGGCTCACAACTCATGATATATCTTAAGAGGAGTGGGAAGTGAATATAAATTCCCTAATTGCATAGGCATATGCCATTGTAGAGTTGTAGGGATGAGCTTCCCCACTCTCCCTGAAACACCATTGATGCCAGAATGAGTTCCTCTCCCAATGGTCTCAAGGAAGTGCTACATGGGGCGGGGAAAGGACAAAACCCACTGCATTTTGCCCCACGACTATCCAATTTATGCAAAGGATTCAGAGCTAGGAGGCCGGCGTTGTAGACAACTCTGGTGTTCACTGGCCTTGCTGGCAGCAGTCTCGAATGGTTTTAATTTTTAAATCGCACTAATCACATCCCGACCGAGAAAATCCATGCAATTACATACCGCGTTCCAATAACATTACACCTAGTTTTGCATTGCAGTATAAGTATAAATATATACAACGGTTTGAACTATGGAGCCAGTTGCGCGCTGAATTTCAACCGTGATGCTCCAGAGAAAGGGTCAAGCCCCTACGCACCCTACAACGAAGCCTCAACCCCAAATCTCAACATAAATAATCCGCTACCCAGCATACTACGAAGCCGGCTTCCATTCCGGTTCTAAAACAAGGAACCTCCCACTTCTGAAGTCCCAAGCTTTCTGGGGATTAGTTATGTAAGGATAGTAGAACAGAAATTGGAAGCTACTACTTCACAATGGGGTCTATATTGGGGCTATAGTAGAGAATAAGGGAATAAATGCTATAGGGATTATGTAGGGATTATGTTCCCTTATTCCCAGACCACGAGTAAGCAAGTGTCTTCCCCAACTTTGTCTGGGTTGCTGTGAAGAAGCTTAAACTAAGTTTCCATAAGATGGGTATATGCAAAATAATGGGGTTTCCTTGTTAATGTGGGCCCCTGGTGAATAACCCCCCTCCCCCGGATTATAATAGGGATTCTTATATTAAGGCCCTTAAAGGGAAGAGGTTCATTAATCAGGGGCTTACCATATAGTAACTTAATCAAGTTCCTTGACATGAACCCATCACCCCAGTCTTGGCAAGGAGCGGAAAGGCAACCTCGCCGGTAAAAGCAGTGCAGGATCCAGGCATAACCTCGGCGGACATGGACTTCCTGAGGGGTTAGTAGGGAATAAGGGAATTCTAATCCCTGTACAATATATTCCTTTGTTCCCTGCTAACCCTAAACCCCAAACTTCCCTTATCCCCTCCTATCCCCAAGCAAGTGGAAAGGAGACTCAGGAAATAGATTATAGCCGAATGTGGCACTTTTCTGCAACCCATAACGAGTCCGCATAAGGTGTAACATGCCAGCTGCAACCAATTGTTGTACCCTGGGTTTTGACCGGGCTAGAGGTGCAGTTCTGTTTGAACTGCATGGCCATAAATGTACGACCAGCAGGGGCTGTGGCTGTAACTGGAGAAGGCGCACTCACACACATACACACGACTTCGTTTTCCGATGGTTGTTTCATAGGTATCTTGATCCGCTGTCATCGACAAGCCCAAAAACCTAAGCCGTCCCTAATATGTTCAAATAAGCGAGCAGTCTAGGGCGCCAGCAAACACTTTCTCGCCCGCATCAGACTGGATAAAGCCGTAGGTTGGGCCGGTCTGTGCCATTTTCGTGGATCGAAATTGGGGACGCAAAGAAGACACTCGGCGCGGGATTCCATTCAAAACAAATCCAGAAGCATCCCTCAATCAACCAGTTGGACTGGAGATGCGCCTGTTTCGATCAGTGCGATGTGGCGTCTAGGTCTAGGACTAAAGGATTTAGAGCAAGTGGGGAGTTTCGGGGTTCTCAAAGGCAAAACAATCTTTACAGCTAAGCTCATCGTTCAGGGGGCCCTAGATGTGGGGATCTCTTGTGCTTGCTTGGTGGGTCGTATAAGCAGCATCTGTCTTGTGCCCCCTGGATTTCATGCACACAACTCTAAAGCGTGCGCCCAGGGAATCATTCGGCGTGCCTGTATAATACTGCCTGTCATATCAGGCAGCTGGGACGCACTGCACCCAGCGCCGCCATACCTTGGTTTTTCTCCAAGCGCAGGGTGTCAGGTTGTGGCTCATAAAATGCAATCCAAGCAAGATGCAGCTCAGGAAGGGAGATTATGACTGAGCCTCTCAACTCCGAACTACCATCTGGAAACTCCAGCCATCAGAACCATGCAGGTGCCTGGTTTGAAAGGTCCAAATGAGTGCAGGTCTTTCTGTGGAAGCTGTAAAGGATCGCAGCCGAACAGTAAACCTCCCATGCAAGACCTCCCAACAGAAAACCCCCAAATCGCGCAACGACCACATCATGTGTGCTCGTCATGACTCCTCAAGCCGTTAGCCGCCGCACACCCCAAAAGCCTAACCCTGTATATAACCCCTATACCCCTAAGTAACCCCTATAAAGCCACTGTGAGGCTCGGGCGACATGGCATTGTCTGGTGGTGGACCCCAGGTCTCCGGCACTACGTTCTCCGCGCGCGGGCGACCAGTCTTGACGTCCTGTAACAAAGCGTTTTGGGAATGCTTAGGGTTTAGGATTTACGGCTTTAGGGTTTCAGGAATCAGGGTCAGGGTCTTGAAAAAAGAGATTCTGGGTAAAGGAGTCTAGGCTTTGAGGACTGAGTCATGACATTGGATTCAGGTTGGACCAGGTGCATCCGACAAGAATGGTTGAAGCAGCAGAGATGGCTTCGGTGCAGGCACAAGGCTTGACAGCAATGGGAAATTATAATCTTTTTCAGCGACAGATGGCACTTGTGCTACTGATGAATGTCGAAATAATGTGGTAGGATTAAGCGCAAACAGCAGTCGGAGCGTGGCAGTGGGGTGGTAGCGGTGGACCAGCGGCATGAGCGGGAACATAAGAAGTAGCCGTCGCAGCAGTAGCAAGGGCAATTTAGGCATTTACGTCCGGCGGGCTGCCATAGCACCCAAGATTTCAGGGATCACAGTCCAGTTCAGGTACTCTATTATACTATAGTAGTTGCCATCTTCTTTTCCACTATCCCCATTATACTTATAACCCACAATGTTATATAGTTTCCACTTGATTTTCCATAACCCCGTGTCCTTCACGATTTCGTAGACCACGCGTGTGCCAATGGGCGGAACGCTGCCCGAGGCGCAGGACATCGGCATGACAAACATTTCTGCCTTGCAAGGCTGGGCCCCTAGTTAAAGGGACTCTACTGGGAACCCCAGATAGGGAACCCCAAGAATATAGTAGGTATATAATAGAAATATACCTGCCAGGGTCCTTATATTCCATTATATTCCTGCTATATATTCTTGGGGTTCCCTATTTGGGGTTCCCAGTAGAGTCCCTTTACTAGTGATGTATGAGGTTACAGGGGGAGGTTATGTTGGGGTAATGGAAAAATGGGAACTACTACATTTTTTGGGGTTATAGGGGGGTTAATATAGGGATTATATACAGGGGATTGTCGTTGGGACAAGTCTGTATAGCAACCCACTCAAACACTTTTGAACACCTTAGAGTAGAATACTTTCCTAGGTGAAGAGTAAACAACAAACAGCAGGCTATTGATCATGCACCGGGTCTAGGTATTTGGCGGCTCAAAACAAAAAAACCTATACTCCCCCCTCAAGTAGATAGAATATAGGGTATATGCGGATCTTATTAGTATTATATACCCAAAACCATGTTCTATCTACTTAAGGGGGGCTATAGCAGCGCTACCGGATGAGTCTTTCTTAGCCTAGGGGTCTGTGTGTGACCCTCTTCTAAGGCCTCGGAGGTTATATTGGTGCAATGGAAAAGAAAATGGAAACTACTATATTATATTGGGTTATATAGGGGAAATATGAGGATCATATGGGGGTAATACAGGGATTCTATAGGGGCAATATGAGCTATAGTCTAAACTCCTAGTATCCCCCTTAATAACCCCTATAGTAGTCCCATATATAATCCCCTTTATAACCCCCTTTAAGGAGTTTAGACCATAGCTCATGTAAGGATCATATACGGCTTACAAAGAGGCGGCCTCGCCGGAGTCCTGGTTGATGAAGCCAAACTGCGCCCCACCTGAATATAGGGAGTTTTGTAAACTTAGTACTCTTTGGGAGGCCCTACCATCAGGATTGTAGCATTTTGGAGTCTATGTAGGGGTGCGCCAATTCATGGAAACTACCATATCTAGCTCCAGTGTAGCTCCCTGAATTCTGCAGAATCCCGGCCTCTGCAGCAATCCGGAATGCCCAGCAATAGCGGTCTAGGGTTTTGCGGGAGTCTGTCAAACGCCGCGATGCGGATGTGTTATTGTTATCATTCTTACTGTTGTTACTATTAGTACTAGCAATTTGAGCCTAACACATGCAATTACTGGAGCTGAGGAACGCTAGGAAGAGCTGACATGGGTGACGGCTTTCTCTGACTGGCTCATAGTAGGGAATAGGGGAAACGACTCCCTATACAATCCCTATATAACAAATTCCCGTATTTCCTACCAACCTCCAGTAAGCTCTTTTCTGCCCAGGCACACTTGCCAATGGTACCGCTCTTCAGGGCCTCAGCCAAAAGAACTGCTTTGTAGGGCTTTCCATCCACCAAACTAAGGCGCAACCTCAAAAAGATTGCTGGTGCCTCTTTGTGTTGCTTATCATTCGTTTCCCGTCAGTAACATTCAACGGACTGATTTGCACCTACAAGATGGATTGGAAGCTACAATTCCCCAAGCCCGACATAAGGGAATGTTGAGACTGGTCTCTTTATGATCTACCGAATTGGGTCGTTGTAACTTGCCCAACATAGTCGGAACCCCACAGTCAACCTCGGCCAAGTTTGGCTTTATAAAGGCTACGCAGAAGCATCAACATACCGACCAAAACAGGGGCGTATGTTTAGATACCAATAGGATGTAAGCAGGGTCAGAATTGTTGTGGGCTGTTCTCCCAGGAGGTGAGCCCCCCATGCTTGCAAAGAACAAGAAAAAAGACACTTCTGCCACACTGCCACACCCCTATCATCTTCATGCAAACTCCGAAGGTAATTTTCAAATACTCCCAAAGACAACTCTGATGTCATGTTCCGGGTCGCCGGGCTGGTCTAACATTCTCTGCTCTATTCCTCCCGGTTTTCGGGTCCGGGGCAATGTCAAACTCCACCCGTGTGCCCATGGGTGGGATTTGGTTGCCTGGCATCAGCGCGCAAACATTTTTGGGACAGTTGTAGGCTGGCAATTCAGTTTCGCTGGTGTGGATTGGATTCCTTTTGGAGCAGGAATCTCGTCTCAGGGTTTGCTAGATGTGTCTAAGAGTCTTAGAAGAGGTCACGTCAGATGCTGCACGGCCGGAGAAGGGCTGTGAGGTAAACTGGTACGAAGTCATTTCCCAGTGTTGAACACCCAATTCCACCCCTATCCCCAAAGGTTAAGGATGCCCCCCAAGTTTTGGGGTGTATCATAGGGAATGTTTGACATTGGAGTGTGGGGCTGTTCAATATCAATATTCCTCAGTCGTTCGACCTCCACTTGCGCTGCTGCCCTTTGTAAACACCAGCATCAGGCCAATTTTCGCTAGACCTCGGATAGACCCTTCTACGCCCGAAGCCCGTTTTCCCCCACCGCCACCAGCAGCAGCACCACCACCGCCACCACCTCTGCAACTTCCACCACCAACGACATCTCCACCACAACCGCCACCCGCCCAGCGCCGCCGCCCCCACCGGCACCGGCACGGCCACGGCGCCCGTCACCAAATCCCCAAAACCCCGCTATAAAGCCTTGAACCTTAACCCTTTACGTGGCTCTAAAAACTTCATGACAAGCCAGCGTTGCCGTATGCGGGGCAGGAGAACGGCAGGACCTCGAAAGATCAAATCCCATGTTCAGTTCGACATCTTTGACCAACATCCTTTGTGCAACACTTGTTGTTGCAATCCTGCTGGTCACTGAAGCAAGGTAAAGTCGATAGTGGCAAACATTACCCTTGCAATACAGCGTGGGTGTTGCGCCGGCAATTCTAAACTACCGTGCTGGTGGTGCAGACGGCAACATGCCTGGTTCCACGTTGAACGTATGACCTCAATAAATTGTTTGGGCTTTGTCTTGCCATTTCTTTTGGTGGTTAAACCCAGTAAGATTATTTTCCTTATTTAAAAGACTATACCCCCAAAGGAGGATAGAATCTTACTCTATATTGGGTACCATAGTATCCCCAAATAAAATACTACTCACATGGGCTTCTGGCAAACATCTTTTCACCGTCATCCTGGTCGATGAAGCCGTAGCCTTTGCCTGCAACTTGAGAAGATACTGCATCATCGCTATGACCACAGTACTGAAGTCTTCTTAGACCTACAAAAAATATCATTTTTATAATTCCTTAGGTTTATACTTTAACAGAAAATAGACTAATGCCTAAGGACACTACAGAGTAGTTTCACTAAGTTCCTGCCCCGGCGCAGACCCCGCCCACGAGGAAAACACATCATGCATAACAGCATCCATGCGTCTTACTTTACGTTCGAGAGATACTCTACCGGGTTGCTGCTAAGTAACTTAAATTCAATCACCGTAATAAGGAAACCCCATTGTTTACTATACGCCCACATTATGGTCGCTTAATTCAAGTTCCTTAACAGCTGCCCAGTCCATGAATTCGCTACACTCAGGAGCAGCAAACAATAACTGAGGTCTAAAGTGACCAAGGCCGGCGCAGAGCTGCGACACAACCTGATCTTACTGGTGGTTTGTAGGGAATAAGGGAATGGGATCTCTATAACCCCTATATACAACATATTCCCTTTTCCCTTCTAACCCCCAGTAAGAGAATGTCCGGTCCCGGTTCAAGGTCTTTGTGCCAAGGACCCGTCTACCAAGTCTGCTCATGAGAAACACCTTATGTTGTCCAAGGAATCGATGGCTTTGGGCATGTGGACAGTCCTGCTGTGACGCCAACTAAAAAGCAAACCCCATTGCGGGGTGCGAAAAGAAGGAGACAAGCTTTTCCAAGATGTCACTGAATACGC